ACATTATTTTAACTTTTCATTAACTTATTTATTTATAATTTCAAAATTTCAATTAAAAATAATAAGAAAATTATGCACTCAAATAGTATCTGATGACGATGACATACGTCCATAATTCTATTTTGCTTTATTTATTTTTAAATTTTTAAAAATAAATAAAACTACCTTATTCCAAATATCTCCCCACTATCTAAACTTTTCATTAACTTACTCATAACTTGACATTTAATTAAAAATAATAAACAAAATTCATGTTTTTGATTGTATAAAAAAATGAAATTTAAATTTTTAATTTAAAAATAATAAGTAAAATATTTGTATCCAATTTTAAAAAAATGGAAAAGAAATCAAAATCTCTAGAAAAGTGAAAAACTAAAATCTGACCCAAGGGTTTTTTGATAACCCACCCCATATCTTCACCTCACTATATTTTCTTCACTTCTCCCGCTTCACTGTAATTCAAATTCAAAGTCAAGCCTTGTAATTCATAAAACTACTTTTTCATTGTAGCTTTTGTGCCCACATTTCTTCTTCCTTTTTTTTAGAGTGCTCACTTGCATCCACATAAATTCTTACAAAATTTTTAAATTTATCATCTCATTGGTGTCTAATCAAATGCTTAGGAAGAGTTGTTTTAGATTGCTTCGACAATGATGATGAATAATCCAGAAGTCCTACAATAAAAACTCTAGATCTACTTGAACCTTGATAATTAGCTCTATTCTTCTGTCTACCAATATCTTATCTCTCATTCATTATGACTAAGCCATTTTGATTAAATACATTATAATATTATTCTCTTTTGTATATTTTTATGGTTGAATTATTGTGATTATTTTATTTCCAAAACAAGCGTGAGAAAATTAGGTGATGCCCCTTTTATTTTTGCTATTGAATATCATTTAGTCACAAGTTTTTATTATATGTGCAATGAAAAGAATGTAATGTTTTAAAGAAAATGTATTTTACATGCTTTAAATTATGTGAGTGTAATTTGACTTTAAATAACATTTGACACCTCTCATCATAGCATGTGATTTAAGATATATTAATTAATCAATTCTCATGCTCTTAATTGTCTATGTATTATAAGAAATAAAGTCAATATTAAAAGTAAAATAATAACTTAGTATATAACATATAAAAATAGTTGAATGTATTTAAATTAGTACAGATTCTAGATTTTTAAATTATTTTTTGACGATTGTGAGCTTTTATTCTTTATATTCATTCTTTCTTGTAGCAAGTTCTTTTTAAGACAAATAAAATATAATAATCATTCAAAAAATTTAGTGAAAAATAAATCGATATGAAATTAATTTTTGGTGTAAATTATTTAAACCATTTTCAATTTTTTTAAATCAATATAAGATTAATTATTGGCTTATCATTTTCAAACTTATTTTAAATATTACTTTAAATTTAATTTATCTTAACTATATCATAATTACAATTACAAAAAGTATACAAAAAATATCATGCGTCTAAAAAAAATTTTTATTTAAAAGTTAATAAGAAACATTAACTCTGCCTATATTTATAGCCGATCCCAAGCCCGGGAAAAGGAGGAGGGTTGTGTTAGGCCATCAACAGCCAATGTAAAACTTTGTTGAATCTATCATGAACATAGACAATAGATGTTATAATGTTAATGCTAGGTCATTGCCCGTAAGTAACGCGCTGCGGGGCTCGAGTACAGTGATAATGAGTTAGAGCCGCTGCATCAGCGTCCGGATGTAGTGTTAAATGAGCAAGGGCTACCGCGTCATTCTGGACATGCGCGGCTAAAGAGGTTAGTCCATGAGAGCAAAATTAGATTTGGTACTTAGAATGTTAAGTCATTAAAATGTAAATCTGTAGAGGTTGTAGGGATTATGATTCAAAGGAAAATTAATATCCTTTGCTTGCAAGAAACAAAATGGCGTGGAGAAGAAGCTAAGGATATTAAAGGTTTCAAACTTTAGTATACAGGAAAAGTAAGCACACGCAATGGAGTAGGCATCATTATGGATAAGGAGTGGAAGAAAAATGTTGTAGAAGTTAGTAGAATTGAAGACAGAATTATTTCCTTAAAAATAATAATTGGACGTAAGACTGTTAATATTGTTAGTGCTTATGCGCCGTAAGTCGAGACAGAAGCCAGCCTTAAGGAATTATTTTGGGAGGATCTGGAGGGGTTGATTCGACACATACCATAGAATGAAAAGATTTTTATTGGAGGAGACTTTAATAGGCATGTCGGGAGGAAGGCTGGTCAGTATGCGAAGGTGTATGGTGGTTTTGGTTTTGGAGAGCGAAATAATGAAGGACAAACTCTTCTTGATTTCTCATTGGCGTATGATTTTAAGATTGCCAACACTTATTTCAAGAAGAGAGATGAGCATCTCATCACTTACAAAAGTGGAGCCTCAAAGTCACAAATTAATTTTCTTTTGGTTAGGAACACAGAAAGAAGACTTTGTAAAAATTGTAAAGTGATCTCCGGAGATGCTGTAACGACACAACATAGGGTACCAATCCTTGATGTGTGTATTATGAGTAAAATTCAAAAACGTCAACAAGTAGTAGCACCAAGGATTAGGTGGTGGTAATTAAAAGGTGAGAATCAAGATATTTTTAAGCGAAATCTTTTGGATAAAGGAATTTGAAAATTTCAAGGAAGTACTAACATCATGTGAGAGGATATGACTAAAAAGATACGGGAGATTGCAAAAGTAGTTTTGGGAGAATCAAAAGGTTTTAGTCCGAGAGATAAGAAGACTTAGTGGTGGAATAATAGTGTACAGGACAAAATCAAGTATAAGAAGAACTGTTTTAAAGCCATACATTTGTGTAACAATGAGGAAAATTGGGAGAGATACCGTATGGCTGAGAAGGAAACTAAGAGAGCTGTGGGTGAAGCTCATTCTAAAACTTTTGAAGAATTTTATAAGAGCCTTGAGACGAAGGAAGGAGAACGAAATATTTATAAGATTGCCAAGAGTAGGGAAAGAAAATCAAGAGATATAGAACAGGTAAGATGTATTAAGAATGAAGAGGAAAGAATTTTAGTTACAGATGATGAAATTAAAAATAGATGGGAGACTTACTTTTCCAAACTTTTCAATGATGGAGAGGGTTCATCTAATAACTTGGAGGATTTAGTAACTGGCGAAGGAGAACAAAATTTGTCATTCTATCGAATAATACGTGATAAGGAAGTAAGGGAAGCTCTTAAGAAAATGGCAAATGGTAGAGCCAACGGACCTGATTGTATATCTATCGAAGCGTGAAAATGTTTAGGTGAAGAAGAAGTGAGATTGTTAACTAAGTTATTTAATATGATTTTACGGTCCAAGAAAATGCCTGATGAGTGGAGGAGAAGTACATTAATTCCTATTTATAAAAATAAAGGAGATATTCAGAATTATACTAACTATAGAGGGATTAAACTCATGAGCCATACCATGAAATTGTGGGAGAAAGTAATTGAGCACAGGTTGAGATTGGAGACAAGTATTTCTGAGAATCAGTTTGGTTTTATGCCAGGTAGATCAACTACAGAAGCGATTTATTTATTAAGGGGATTAATGGAAAAGTATCGTTGTAAAAATAAAGATTTACACATGATTTTTATTGATTTGGAAAAAGCTTATGACCATATACCAAGAGAAGTGCTTCGGAAAGCGTTGGAAAAAAAGGGAGTATGGATTGCTTATATTAAAGCCATAAAAGATATGTATGAAGGGGTAAAAACTAATATAAGAACGCCTAGTAGTCAAACAAAGGATTTTTCTATAAAGATTGGACTTCATCAAGGATCATCTCTGAGTCCTTATCTGTTCAACTTGATCCTACATGTTTTGACGGAATATATTCAAGGAAAAATTCCCAAATGTATGCTCTTTACAGATGATATAGTTCTTATAGCAAAGATAAGAGAAGAGGTTAATTGCAAACTTGAGTTATGGAGGAGGACATTAGAGTTGAAAGGTTTCCGTCTGAGTAGGAGTAAGATAGAATATTTATATTGTAAATTTGGCAAGAGACTATTTGACAATAATTTGGAAGTGAAATTGGGAGATCAAATTATACCTCAAGTGGAAAAGTTTAGATATTCGGGAGTCATTATTCAAAATGATGGCGAAATCAGTGAAGATATTTCACATAGGATTCAAGCTGGCTGGTTTAATTGGAGAAAAGCTAAAGGAGTTATTTGCGACCGTAAGGTGCCTAATAAACTTAAAGGAAAGTTTTATTGCATTGCTATGAGACCGACAATGTTATATAGTGGTAAATGCTAGGCTCTAATGGGACAACAAGAGCATAAAGTTGGAGTAGCAAAGATGAGAATGTTACGATGGATGTGTGAACATATACGTAAAGATAAAATTCGAAATGAGCACATACGCGAAAAAGTGAGGGTAGCACCTATTGAGGAAAAAATGTTAGAAAATTAGGTGAGATGGTTTGGGCATGTACAAAGAAGACCAAGGGAGGCACCGATGAGAAGAGTGAAACATATAACTTTAAGTCCGATCAAGAGAGGTAGAGGAAGGCCTAAGAGAACACTCTTAGAAGTTGTTGAATACGATCTCTTAATTAATAATATTCCTAAAAGCTTGATAAATGATAGAGCACAATGGTGTCTTGCAATCCATGTAGCCAACCCCACCTAGTGGAATAAAAGCTTGTTGTTATTGTTGTTATTGTTGTTAATAAGAAACATTATTGTGATATTTATAAATTTTAGTTTAAAATTAGCTTGTCCTTTGTAAGTGTCCATAGCTAGCACTAAAAAGTTTATCTCCACCAAATAACATCTTATATTATGAATAATTATTAACTATTATTATTTATTTAAATTTTTTTATTTTTTCACGCTCCATGCATTGCACGGGCCACATATTAGTTAAAATATAAATGTGTTTATCAAGATCAAGCTTTTAACAGTTGGTGTCGTTAATTTTTAAGGTCGAATTATGTTGGTGGAATCGTATACATTAATATCAGTAAGGGAATTAAATAATAGAAAAGATGCATAACTGCAATTTGAATTCTAGGGCAGCACGTTTATAAAGTTGTCACTACGTAGTCGACAGATGCTACTCTGCCAAATCAAAAGCTAACAGACACACCAGAAAACATAAGACAAAAACAACCCAGCATCACATTCAAACAGAATATGTAGTTCGGATGACACAGCACAGAAGCGAACAGGAATTCGATCGATTCAGTTTGGATTAACTGAGAAACACGGATGCCAAATCCCCCATAAATGACACAATAGATGCCATACTACTTAATGTCTCCAACGCCTCCGTTTGCCCCTGACAGATTATTACACCATGAAAACAAAAACACTATTATTTTAATTTAAACATATTTGACAAATTTCACAGTGTTTCGCGCTAGACATGCATTTTGTGATATATGCGCTTGTGTGAAATTTAGTTATTTTTTTGGAATAATAATTTGCAACTTTGACATAAAAAATAAATCATAAAACAAAACTCCTACATAACTAGTACTGCTGAAATGAATTAATAGGAATAGCTATTCAAATTTTAAAATAAGGTGAGAGAGTTCTGCTACTCACCTTTTTTCCAACACCAGACGACGTTGATGCCTGAAAATGAAACACCAATAATTAACAATAACAAGGACACACATGCAAAAAGAGAGCAAATTTTAGAGACAGCCGGGATATTAAAAATTATTCAATCATCTCTAGGACTATTAAGTTAACATGGCTATAAAAAATGATCTCCTTTTGTATCTGACGTGTGACTTATCGATGTCTCAATCATACCAATTATATATAACCTTGAGAATAAAGTATGGAATAAAATTAAGAATACAATCATATAAAAAAGGTGATTATGAGAGCAATACAAACATACGACATGCATATGCGCGCGCGCGCGCGCCTGTGTACCTGGGATGCAGATAATAGCAAGTGTTGCATCTTGAACAAGAGTGTGTAGTTATCGTCAAACTCAGTATGCTCATGCTCAAACTTTGTCTCGCGGTAGCATGGAATACAGAGATCATAACTACGACACTCAGGAAGGTTGGTTAAACGACAGTGCGTACAAGTGAAGAACAGGCCAACGATGAAAACGCCACAGGCATCACACAGGGGCCTGCCACTTGAGCAAAGGTAAGACAGCATGAAAAGCTCATCAAACTGCAGGAAGCCATCGCCGTTTTGATCGGCGAGGTTGAAGAGAGCGCGTGTGTGGGCATCAGCGGATTCCATGAACCTTGCCAACTCTGCAAAGCTTATCTTGCCATCTCCGTCTCTGTCCATTATCTTAAACAGCCTGTTCAGCTCTTCCTTTTCTTCATATGAGGACTTCTCATATACAGCTTTTGCGGCCTTCCTCATCTCCTCCATCATATATCCTCTCTCTGCCTTACTCTTTCTTGTTTTTCAGGCTCGTGCTTTAATTAGGGCTCACAACTTACATCAAGCATATTTATATATATGTGTGTATGTATATTCTTCTTGCCTTATTTATATGGAGGATAAAAAAATTAATTTTGATTCTATTTAAAAGACAAATTGAGAAGATTAATTTTAATTTTATTTAAAGGCACTTCATTATTTTCAATTTATGTTTGTCTTTACCTTTCTGCACAGAAAATTATTAAAAATAATTTGTTTGTTTCTATCAGGAGTAGAGTTGGAGTATTTTTAAATTTTAAAATAGTGTTAATAAGATTTAATTTTTTTTAATTTCAATAATTTGTAAATAGAACTAGCAGAAATACACACCTAGTGTACTTAACTGCTTTTGCCACGCCGTTTGTTGAGTTCGTATTATCGTGTTTAGTTGCTATTGTGATTTTCGTTTCGTACGCTTAACCTTATTATCAACTAGCGGGCTGCGGGACACAAGCGAGGACGAAGACCGAGACGAAGGGTGGGTGGAGTTGCATCCGAGAGCTTCAAGTCTGCGCAGAAATAGTTGACAGGCTTCTCCGCCGCCAATGTTCGTTGGACTAATGGAGTATTTATCGTACGTTATTGACTTGTGACTTTCAATTCCACACGTTAAAGAAGCTCCCACCCTTCTGTCCAAAAAAACAAAAAACAAAAAACGAGAAGCCTCCACCCTAGTAGAAAAATCGGACGTCTGACTGCATCAAGTGGAGTTTTGGCTGGCTAGTGGCAGGCTAGCTAGGCCCGAAAAAGCAATTCATTACATCAAGTTGGCCTTTGTCCGCTTGCGGATCTTGAACAGTGAAAGGGCGAATCTTGCGTGAGTATGAGCCCTGGAATTTAAATTTGTATAGATGTCAATTTTTTTTTTTTTTAAAGAACCATTTCTAGTTAATCAACTATATTATTTAAATAGTAATAGAGAGAGGAAAAGAAACACTAGCTTACGATCTCTGTGAGGCTCGAACAGGATTCTACACTTGTTCTATTACACCTATCTTTGTAAGCACGTTTGCACACACGTTACCTTTGCGAAAAGTTGTTTACATGATTCAAGGTATAAGTATTCGCCCTCTCTTCTTAAAGTTTACTCTCAGATATCCTTGCCAAGGTGGATAGTAGGACCATTTTGAACATAATTTACTTAAGACAAGGTAAACTGATGGTACGGTCATCCTAAAGCCTTTTTAATATTAAATTCTCAAGGACTTAGCGTGATACACACTCCTCAATCTTACAATCTCTCCTATAAAGTAAAGAAATAGGTAACATTAATATCACTGAGCTGATCAACTCAGTGTGGTACCAATAATGCTCACTTCTTTGTTAATATAAAAGGTTGTAGGATTGAATTTTAAGGGTGAACGTTATGCTAAGTTTTTGAAAATTTGATTATTGGGAAGGCATGATGATGGCGTATTACCATGTATATCCGCTTGAGTAAATGGGTTTAAGAGAGTCCCATTTTCCGCTCCACCAAAAATACTTAGGGAGTTACTCTTGACAAAGGGGGAGGGTGAACAATAAGTTATAGATATGAAAATATAAAACTAAAAACTATTTTTCCACTAATGCCTCTTATTAACCATACGATAAAGCAATTAGTGGAGATGTTGATGAGCTTTAAAATTATGCAGAGGTTTAACCTTTTAATGGGAGCATTGTTGAAAAATACTTTCAGTTTATGGCGTAGCAGTTTAAAAAAAAATTAATTCTTTTTAATCATTATTTTTTCTTATATTTACTTCCTCCATTATTTAATTCTGTTCTCTCATCTGGACATGCTATATACAGTCTACTACATTGCACGAGTTATTTTACATATTTGTCAAAAGAAATAATGTGAAGTGACACAAGATAATCAGGGAAGTAAATGAACCTAAAGCAATATTCCATGATCAAAATTGTTAACGACACAATATAACAATTTCTTGATGTGTCAATCAAGTCTGAAGATTGGAAGGTCAGAGCTTTTGAAAGATTTTCATTGTACACTGCTTGACTTTGGCATTTTATATCATCTCCAGGAATCAAAATTTTCAATTCGTCCATATTTCAAACTCTCGAAGTGCAACATTAAGTTAACCATAATAATACATTTGGATGCATGAGCATTTATATTTAATTTTAAAATAGATTTTTGATTTGGTTACATAAAATTCTTTGAATTTGGATTCAAGTCCAATAAATCCTTATTTTATTATAACCTTTTTTGTAATTTTAAATTTTCCTTGGATTCTAAATATTTAAATATAACCTACTCTAACCTTTTTGTTTTCTTCATGTTTTCAATATGAGTATTTCTGTCAATTAGTTTTGCTGCCTCTCTTATCTCTCGTTCTTGTTTTTCACCAATCAAAGAATAGAAATAAGCCCATTACTTGCAATACAATCTTTCATTTCTACTTCAACGTTGCTCTTTTACCTTCAAAAATTTTTACAATATTCAAATAAAAAATTTTAAACACACAAATTTTAGATGCAAGATTTTAAATTTTAAATTCATCAGTTCAAAAACTACCTGAGTGAACAATAGCCGTGGTAAGCAAAAGACATTTTACAATGACCCATCTGGTTAACTCAATAAATTTGAACAATGATTGAGTTATCAAATCAATAATTAATTAAGAGAAAGTTCAAAAATAAAAGCTATACTACTCCAAATTTGTATTTATCAGCTAAAGAATAATAATTTATTTGTATATAATTTATTTGATACAATAGAAATGAAATGAAAAAAAAAACTGCGAGTTATTTAACAAAAGATACTTTAATTTGAACACGGGCAAGTAGAGAACAAGTGTAATTAATATATAAACGTGTTCATCAAGATCAAGCTTTTAACAGTTGGTGTCATTAATTTTTAAGGTCGAATTATGTAGGCGGAATTATACATTAATATCAGTAAGGGAATTAAAGAAGAGAAAGGATGCATAATTGGCAATTTGAATTCTATGGCAGCACATTTATAAATGGGTTCAAGTGCATTTTTGTTTTTGTACTTTTTTTAAAGAGCACTAGATATTTTATACTAGCAAGTGAGACATTGTTCTCTGTAACCATTTTTTGCATGAACAAAAACCCTCCTCTATTAGTGATCCGTTAATAGAGAGGGATTCTTGCTTATCTAAAAAATAATTTGAAAAAAAAAATACTCCATTTACTAGTACAGGATGTTGATGCTTGACATGATTGTGAAGGACTTGCCAGACAAGGAAACTCTAATAATTAACAATAACAATGGCACACACGTAAAAACAGCAAATTTTAGACATGGTATATTAGGCAAAAAGGCTAATAAGTATTTTTGTCAGACTCAATTATTCACTTAAAAGTGTTTGATATATTAAATTTATATTTGATGCTATTTTTTTCTTCAACATTTGAAAGCAGTGTATTGAATATCCTAACATTAAAGAGTTAACTTTTATTATTAGTTTAGTTGACTGAAAATATTACAAACAAATGGCTTTAAAAGGACAAAAGAGACCCGTGCAAATTGCAAATAATTACATTATAAGAAAATTACTATCAATTAAGTCTCTCAAATAATGGTTGATCAACATCATATTTTGACCTTTTATGTAGATAAGAAGTAACATTTGTATTATGTTATTCATGTGAAGTTTAGGGGACTAAATTAATATTAATTTTTTATAGGATATTTATATGTAATTTTATGGGTCATTTTTTTTTATAAATTTTTAGGTCATTTTTTTATAATTTTTAAGTCAACCAATATTTTAATTTTGTTTAATGGCATAGTACTTAACACACCATTCTTAAATGAAAAAATTGCATCACATGAAAAGTTTAGGATATCATATATTTCAGAATAAATAAATAAAGAGTAAAAATGTTTTTTAATCCTAGATAAAGTGCTTCTCATTTACTCAACATTTAAAAATTATTTAATCCTCTCAGGGGCTAGTTAACATGGTTATAAAGAAAATGATCTTTTTTCGTATCTAAGCGTGACTTATTGTTGATGACTCAATCATATCAATTATATATAAAAATTAAGAATATAAACATAAAAAAAGGTGATTGTGAGAGCAACACACACATATGTATATGTACATATATGGGGTGCAGATAATGGCAAGTGTTGCATCTTAAGTACGAGCGCGTAGTTATCGTCAAACTCAGTATGCTTATGCTCAAACTTTCTCTCACAGCAGCATGGAATACAATGATCACAAGCACGAGACTCAAAACAGTTGGTTAAACGACAGTGCATACAAGTGAAAAACAAGCCAATGATAAAAACACCGCAAGCATCACAGAGGGGCCTACCACTTGAACAAACGTAAGACGAGATGAAATAACTTGTCAAACTGCAGAAAGCCATCACCATTTCGATTGGCGAGGTTGAAGAGAGCACGTGTGTGGGCATCGATCAGAGGATTCCGTGTACCTCACCATCTCTGCAAGTCTTATCTTGCCAATAGTGGCGGAGGGAGGGGGAATTAGCAAGGGCGCAGCCCCCTCAAATTTTTTGTATTATATAAATATTGTATACTTTTTTTTCTTAAAATTTATGAAAACTTTGCAGTATATATGTTTTTTAATCTTGACTCTCACTCATTCTTAAATTTTGGCTCTGCCCCTGCTTGCCATCTCCGTCTCTGCATGTCCATTATCTTAAACAGCTTCTTCATCTCTTTCTTTTCTTCATCTGAGTATTAATACAGCCTTTGCGGCCTTCCTCATCTCCTCCACACACACACTCTTTCTTGTTTTTTAGGTTTGTTCCCTAGGGGCTCACAACTTACAAGTATATATACACACCAGCGTGCTTTTGCTATGCAGTACATTGACTTGTACTAATGTTAGATTTAATTAGCTGCTGTCGTGATTTTGATACACTTAACCTTATTAACAACTTGCTGGCTCGGAGGAAGCAAAGGTATACACGCCGTATATGCCTTAATTAAGCACTGACCATTGAATAGATTATATATACACATATATATAAGCACATACCGATTATGACGCTTATATAACTTAAGTTGGCCACTAT